TATAGTAGGTACATACATGCGTACGTCATTCGCGGCGGAAAAGAGATAAAGGAGGCCCCCGGCTCTCTCGCGCTCATCACAGAAAGCACAATTAGCTCATTCATCGTCCGCGTCTCTAGTGTCAGCGTACGCGAACGTGTGCACGGCCGACAATCGTGCACGAGAGAAAGAGAGAGAGTTGGTTTATCGGTGCAGGCGCCAAGTAGTCAGTCACTGTGACTCGCAAGATACATTCTGTTAGGCATACCACGCTGCGCGGCGTTCAAGGAGTTTATTATTACACTAACAGCGTGCCTTGTACGTCGCGTGCATCGAAGTACACGTGTAGAGGTATTCGCGATGGCGGAAGATCATCGCTATTCGCGCTAGAAGAGAGAGAAAGAGAGGGCCTCTGTGTGCGCACACGTCTGTTCTTCTCGTAGAGATACATCGTTTACGGTTTCTATACTTAGCTAAAAAAAGAAAAGATAAATACACCCTGCAACGCGAAGATGTGTTATTTAAATAATACTCTTTGTACTGTAACTTTGTCCCTTTTTCCGAAAATGTGCGCTGTCAGAGACGGGCGGCGCACTTCTCTCGAATAACGAAGCTCGATTTTATTTGTTCATCTCAATAAGTTTCTCGCCGGTTATTTTTACCTCGAGATCATTTTTCTCGGAGTCTATAAAAAGGGCGGGTAGCCCGCGGCATTGCGCGGCCGCGAAAACCGGCCCTCGACGCGAAAGCAAATTCCAGCGCTCCGATCCAAGCGCGAGAGGTTGTTGGATCGCGCAGCCGCGGGGCTAAATACCCAAATGTATGCAACGCTTAATTCACTACTAGGTCGAGGTCGTTACTTGATCGAAAAAAATCGATGCACTCCCTTCGATTGCGTATAATATATTCGTTTTATAGCGCCCTAGATATAGGAGCGAGAGGCGATGTCAGAAATAGAATACCGCTCTAAGGTATCCCTACTCTCAAACGAATGCTTGTGATGTGAAAATATTTTCTGAGAATGTTTCTCAATTTGTAATGGTCTCTTTAGAAAATGAAAAATATATTTCTTTCAAAAAATCAATCGGTTGAGTAATAAAGGAATAATCTCTTCGACGGCAGATTGCCCCCAGGTCTGTGAAAAATCACACAAGTTATTTAAAAGCGTTTGATAAGCGTGTTGGCAAAGCACACGTCCTTTTTGCCATGTGCACAACGCGTCTTCTCTCACCTCACCAACACATCGCGGACGCGAGAGTGGATACGCCTATTACCGCTCGCGAGATTAGAGCAATTTATAGTATCGTCTGAGAATACCGGCCCACGCAAGTAGCAAGTAGTACCGCACTTCCGGCCGAGCATATGTTACAGCGATTTCGTCTGGTTATTCTTATTGCGATTCCGTATCGCACTAACTAAAACCGTGCATTGCGCTTAGAAAGCTGAAAGACATACATAATTCTCGGATCGATTATTTCGACGAATAAAATCTTGAACAAATTTAATCTCTCTGAAAAAATATATAATTCTCTGATAATGGAATATATTACTCAGGATAATGTTCGTAAAATTTGTGACTTTTTTTTGTTTTGCGAATTTTGTTTCCCCGTAATCTCACCCACGCTATCATCGACACGCCAGGTATGTTAAGCATCGATGCTTTATTTTTCCGATACACGATGACGCGACCGGCCCGTTTCTTTCTCTCGCCTCTCCTCTCTTCGTTCGCCACAATGCCGTTTTCAGTGGCAGGCCTCAATTTGCCGTAATTATTATGTTTATCTTCCTCATTCACTTAAGTCCGCGCACCGATCCGGGTCCTCCATGTTCATTGTTTCGTGCGGCAGCAAACCGAAAGGCCAATATTATCAGGCACTCGTCTGTCGTCTCCTCTTTCTCTCTGATTTACACTACAGTCGATTTTTTTCGTTTATTTAATGAAATAAAATTTCCTAGCCGCTACACAATATATCATTTATTATCTTATCGGAACAAATTTTATATCTTATTGTTAGATACCAGAGATAGAGAGAGATGAAAAATAAAGAAGAAATGCTCGTCTGCATTTTATCATTTAAATCATTTTTAATCATTAGTTCGAAAGCTGACTAAATATTCTTATAATATTGTTTTATTAAATCAATTTAAACGACACACGCGACAGGACCGATGACGTTCGTGATTTTCTTTGCGACAGTAAAAGAAGGAGAGATCGAAAATGGAATCTCTATACGTGCGAAATCCGCTATAATCGCGTTCGCGTCATATGTGCGTGGCCACGCGCCAATCATTACATTCTGAAAAGGGTGGGTCTACCGTCGATCAACCGCTATGTCAAATCCAATTTGCGTGATCCTTTCCCTCGGAAACGACACGAAATCCTCGTCACGCCCGGCAATTTGCGGCGCGCCGACTGCACTTTCGACGAGCGTGAGAAGCGAGTGTCGGAATGTTGCACCTACGAAGAAAATAACACACGACTCTCATAGAGAGAAAGAGAGAGAGAGAGAAGGGAGGAGAACGCGCGCGCTTCTCGATCATCGAGCTAGACGCGCGTTAAACCGTTTCGTCAAATTCATCTCGGATGTATAAAGTTATAAGTTTTTCCGGCAAATCTAGAAAGATATCCTCATTCTCTCTCGGTCTGCCGAGATCGCCCGCCAGGATGCGATGCTCGTGCAACGTCCGGCTTCCTTACGTAGCCACGCGCCGATCATTATATACGCTCGCGAGCAGGCGATAACTATCCCGACCGATACAGTTTGTCAGTCAAACGCAATTTGCGTGATCCTCCTTTCCCGGCGCGGAACCGCGGAATCTGGCTGGTTCAGGTCCGATTCGCATGCGATAATGAAAGTAGCGAGACTCTTTTCTCTAATAGATTAAATAGGACCGCGAACATTAAACTTGGAATAACGCTCCAAGAGAGAGAAAAGATCTCATCTTCCGCTTAATAACATCTCTCAATTGTACCTTCCGAGACGGAAGTTTTGATTGTAGACAATGCATCTTTCTCCGAGTCGAAGAAAAAAAAATAAAAACTTTTCTCGACGACGGGACCCTTCGACTACCGCGATGTTGGCGTCGTCCTCCGAGACTCGGGAAGCAGAAGGAGTTAGCGTGAACGGATTGTTTCTGCGCCCGAGAGAGCGAAGGCCTTTAGGAAAGTGTAAAGAGCGTCTAAAGCGGGAAAGGAAGAAAGAGAGAGAGAGAAAGAGGGAGTGACAAAGTAACTCCGCCAAGCCGGATGGGATGCGAGAGAAAGAGCGAGAGATAAACGCGGGATGAAGGAAGAGGGTTGGTGAACAGAAGAAAGATGAAAGATGGTGGAGAGAAGAGGAGGATGGTTCAAGGAGGAAGAAGAAGAAGAAGACGAAGAAGTAGAAGAAGAAGAAGTTAAGACGGTCCAGCGCAGGCAGCATCACCACCGCAGCCGGAGGTGATGACCTGCTCAAGGCCACCCGCTCCCAACCTCTCGGACCGAAGAGGAGAACCACTCGTCTGATTTTTCGTTGCTCCCTTTTCTCTCCTTCGACTCCTTGTTGCAGCTCTTGGGCTCTCTCTATCGTTGCTTCTGCTTCTCTCTCGGTCAGTTTCCGTGCATCTGCCTTTCTTAGGCTCGCTGAACCTTGCGCAAGTCCTCTATTCTTCTTCTCCTTTTCTGTTTATCTCTGATTTGTTAATTCGCAAAATGACCGATCAAAAATATATTACAAGATACATAAGATGTATAGTCGGAGGATCTTTTTAATTTTGAAAGCAAAGCTCTTGAAGCAAATTTCTCGCGACAATGTGTCGTTTTTATGACGATGGAAATTCATCTACAGATGTCGAGGAAGAAGATTCAGACGCCCGAGAGAAAAAACGGAGAAAAAACGAATCAACCACGATGCAAGAGAAGTCGTAAAACAATAAATTGTAAGATCGCGCGCGACTAATCCTTTTGCAGTCGCGATGTAGTGTTCATCGACCAAGAATGTCGGTGCATCGCCAACGCAATGTGATAAAAAAAAATCATCAAGAGAGGGTTCTTTCCTTTGTTTCACGTCTCTCGAATCAATTCGATCAAACGTTTTTCGCGACCGCAATCATCCGGATGCGTAAGATTATAGATTTCAGATGATTTCGACGAGGGTTTTATATTGTACACAGAGAGAATTTACCTGAAAATTATGGTAATCGTGGGACAATACAGTATTGGAAAAATTTTATAAATAAATTCTATTATGTGCATAGTCAAATTAATCGAACATATTTAATATCTTATTATGGTAGATATTTTTTATTGTAAATATTAATCACACAGAGAAACTCTTATGATAACTCTTAGGGTAAATTCTCTCCATATGTACAAGACTCGTCTGCAAAATTAAAAGTGTCATTTTCGGGGTAAAAAATCTTGAAATCACGGAAAGAGTGAACTATGTGCTCGACAGCGTGTCGTACTTGAAAAGAGATATTTTGTGGTGACTTTGCGCGCGCGCTCCTCGATGGTGTATCTGACGTTTAATAAGCGCGGGTCAACTGGAGTCAACGGTGCAGCTGTGTCGACCGACGGCGAACTATTACCTCGATTCATTATCAGTGGCCTCTTTGTGCACGTCTTTTGTTTCGCGGGACTCCCCTTTTTCCCTGTCCCTCCCTCCATCATGCCGGCGTTAACTTTTTTCAATTGAAATGTCACCCGTAGCGCAGCTCCCGTCGGCTGCTATAATTGCAAAAAACGAAAACACGTTTATAGCATGCAATCGCCTATATAAATCGCGTGCGATTCAATTACGTACGAATTTATTATATGCATATTCTCGATCTCATCTCTTTCTTTCCTTTACTTATGTAACACGCAGGTTCTGGATAAAAATTGTTTTAATTAAACGAGGGTGATTTCTCTAATTATCAGAATTATGGTCAATAAAAAGAATTGTCTACAATCATTTTGTTGTATTTCAAGATTGATACGATAGACACCGTGTATATAATAAATAAAGGCATATATATATATATATGCATATTTGTTACAGCGCGAGATGACGAAGCGGACCGTGTGAGCGAGATCGTTGCAGAGTATCCAGAGGAGGAGAGCGGCAAGAAATCGAGCAAAAGTAAGAAAAAAAGAGATTATTCACTAGATCGATACGAAATATATCTATATAATGAGATGACGAAACGCGCATTTCGCAAGCGCAGATCTATAGGTACTAGATCGCGCGATTTTTCCGCGCGATCGGCGAACAATCAAACCCGGGATCGACAAAAACGTCGTCTAATATCGGCATTATTACTTTCCCGATCGCGATCTTATCTCGCGCGGAGATATTAAGGTATGACTCGACGGATTTCGACAATAGTAGTGTATTTGCGTTCATGTGCGGCGGACCGTGGACGACTATGGGTTCATTGTGAGGTAAACGATAATTCCGGGGTCGTGTCGAAGGTCCTCGTTCGCGAAAAATGAATCGAAAATGTCAGCGCGGTGGTCAGAGAACGATCCTTTAGGCTATAACAATAGAGCGTTTAAGAGCTCCGCCGCGTCGATACCTTTCGCGGTTTTACACCGATCACGTCCCGTCCTTCGGTACTCAGTGAAAGTCCGCAGGAATTCGCCCTCACTCGAACTTCACATTGAGATTCCCGTGACGTGTCACGAACTCGCTCGAGACACCCGTAACGAACACCTCGCCGCGATTGTTGCTGCCTCGTAAAACGGCGACGCCGAGTTCGGTCGTGTCGTCGTCCTTCGGATTTTTTTTTTCATCGGCGACAGGGAGAAGGAAACGTATATATCCGAGTCGAATAATCGACGAGGTCGTTAAAATACCGATTAATTAGGAGTAGAACGTTACGGTGAGATGGAGAGATGCGAATCTTAATCTTTATTTCACATATACAGAGAGAATTTTCTCTTATAGAATTTATCCTGAAACTCATGGTAATCATGGGACAATATTGGAAGAATTTTATGAGTTTCTCTGATTAAATATTTAACCACAATAAGATAGAAAATATGTTTGATTAATTTTACTATGTACATAATATTTTTTATTGTAGTAAATATTAATCAGATAGCCACACTTAAATCAAAATTTTTCCAATACCATATTGTTCCTCACAATTACCACGATTTTCAGGATAGATTCTAAGAGAAAATTTTCTCCGTGCACTTCTTCCAGTATGAATTTAAGAACGTTTATGAGCCACGTTTTGACAGAGAGAGATTCATGAAGATAATTAATAATGCCTTCTTCTCTTTCGTCTTTTCCGCTTTTCTCCGCGAACACTTATTGATCATTTTCCGTGTTTCTCATATATATTAAAAAAAATTTAATTGGATATAAGATTCTCGCTCGATTCGCTGCTCGTTTTACAGCTGTCCGCTCCCACGAAGGCGCAAGGTGAGCGTCATCGGCCTCTCGAAGCACGTATGCATCGGGCCGCTGCATTTAATACCGATGTTTCCGCATTCTGGAATCTTATTTCTGAACGAGGAATATTCGCGCTGTCTAGCCGGTGCGTGGCAAAAATGTGCTGCCGACTGCTCGTGAGTGTCAGATGCTCTCGCGAAACCGCCGCTCGTACCAAGGATTTTACGGTCCGCGGCGACTCGACATTGCAAGCACTAACATAAAGTCCTCGAGACTCACTCGTTCGCGAGGAAAATCGCGAGAGCTCCGATTCTCCGTCGTAAGTGGATTTTAATCGCGATTGCGATGCAGATTTTATTTCCGCGATCCAACATTTTATTTTTGCCCGCGAAACGTTTGTCCTATAACGACATCGTTATTTTTTTATTTTGTATCCTAGGGACTGAATGTGATAGAAAGATAACATTCTCTCTCTTCGAAATTTCAAATTTGTATACTTTGGATAGAAGAGTCATATAAGCGCATACATGTTTAATCCTTTTGTCAATGAATGGGTACCCAAGGCAACTTTAAATGTTACAAAAGTGTCGGAATCTTTCTCAACAAAATACGGACTTTCGGAAACCTCTGAAATATAATGAGAAATAATGTTCGATGTCCAGCAATTGCTATAAAAAATCGCAATGCAATGTCGAAAACGCAGTTGGTACCCGGGTATACTCAACCGAGAAAATTTCGGTACATTCACTTTTCAGCAATGTGGGGATTGATGTACATTCGAGACGTTAAATGGACCTTTCGTGGACGATACTTCTCTTCCGCGCGAGAATGTCAGAAGCTAAACGTGATGAATGAATGCTGTGCCCTCGTGTCGGCACGATGTAACGCGAGCCGCGTCGTCATTTTAGGACCTTTCAAGCGTCCACCAGCGCAACACGTCGTCCACGACGTAACGTGAAAAAAAAAAGAAAGAGATGATGTAACGCGTGAATCAGACACGTGAGATGACCGAACGGTGAGCCGAACGAACTGTTGGCTTTCGCAAGAGATGAGGGATCGACGATCCCTTTTATCGGAGTTTAGCGACACGGCCGTTCGGCACGGATTATCTAATATTTTGCACGGTCGTTATTACATCAAAACCGCTGTTTCTCTCCGAATTTCTCGGATAACTTCGCGAATCACGTGCGGTCGTTGAACCGGTGGAGAAAAACCGTGAATCGCGAAAAACGGGAACAAAGTGCATATCGTGAAACTGCTCTTAATAAGATTAGCTTTTCGCGAGATAACGGTTTGCGAGACGACGAGTTACGTGACGAAATGTAAGTGGAAGCTGGGTATATACGAGAGGTGTGTCTTGTCCTCCCGTAGGTCGAGATAAACGTATTAAATTGCGGCGCGCTTTATATCCGACTTGATTCCCACGAAAGGGAGGATCGTTTCTCAGAAACAGGAGAGCGAAACGTCTGCAAAACGTTTTGTAAAATATTGCACAGTGTATAACATTATACGAGCCTCTGTAAAATATTCTACGCGTATCTAACACATGTCTCTCCGGAGAATACGTGGCATGAAGGACTCGTCGCGCTTCATTCGGTCCCTGAAAATCGATCATCCACGCTATAACGCACGGACTTATATTGCTGAAACGCGACGATATATCCGCGTCGCGGACATATTTAATGACGCGAGTTGTCGCACGGGATGATGACGAGGCGAAAAGAGCGAGACCGCTATATTAGGAAGGATAAAAATAACAATTAATAAATGGCGTTCCTTTTTTGTTTCTTTTTTTTTTTTTTTTTCATTAGACTCCCTTCACCTTCGGCGTACATTGAGCGCGCGATTCGGATCTCAATCAAGGATAAAACGTGGCTTTTAGGCGACGGCATTGATTTTGTGCCTCCTTTCTTTCCCAAAACTGCGTTCCAACAAAGGAAGCCGTCCATCGCGTTCATTGCGACAGACGCAATCTCGCATTCAAAAACCATATGCATAATGACGCAATTTATGGCTGCAATTTGTGGAGTAATCATTATTATTATGCAGGTGCATAGCGCACCGAGAGCGTGTATAATGAGAATTACTTTAATTATGATATAAAATATCGTGATTGTGTGTGTAGGCATCCTTGAATGTCGTTCAGCGATTCATACTGCTTTTCAAGTACTGCGTAGCAGTACTTGAAAAAGAAGTATCTAAAAATATGCAAAATTGATTTATAAAATAATAAATTTTTTTTCAGCATTTGAAGCTTGCGTTTATTAAAAAAACATAACAGTACTCTATTCATTTCTCAATATCTCTTTGATCATTCATAATTAACACAAGTTTTTTATTCCCGTTAATCTGATATCAACGTGACTCGATATAAATTCTTCCGTCCCGATAAATCGATGAATCACATATTACATATATCATCATCACCCACGGAATTACGAAGCGACGTAACTCAGCAGCTTGACAAAATCGTGGGTTCGTCTCATAAAGCCGATTACATCGCGTAGCGGTACATCCAATTCGACATAGAGATCTTCCGGTCCTACGACTCCTTCTCGACGTGAGAGCAAATGATTTCGTTTCGTTGACACATTCCGCGAGATTAATCGGCTCACGCAGCTTTGTGACCTAAACGACATTCATTTATATGCGCATAGAGATCTGACGCGTTTCTGGAGAAAACGGTCATCATGTAATAACTAATTCATATGACGTAGCGTTTTTATTTTTTTATAGCTACCTCATCTCGATCGATTAGAAATAAATATCGTCGTGTCAGAGAGAGAAAATATAATGACGAGCGACACGCGAACTTTATGAACGCTAAGAAAGATATTAAGAGCGGAGATGTGAAAAACGAAGGGGGATGCATGCGGATTTTTCTTTCACGGTATAACACCCGCGAAAGAACTGCAATTCTCAAAGAGAGCTAAAAGCGCAGACCGCGATGGCGAACGCGAGTTCCCTATCCCTTCTCTCTTTCTCTGTCTCTCGTATCGCGAAAGCGCTAACCTCGCGGAAGCTGGCCTCGACGCGAGCAAAGCAATGTCGCCCAGTCTTACGACAGCCTTCTTGTCGGTACGTACTTGTTGCTGCCCGTTGTTTCCATCCTCTCATCCCGAGGAGACACATCAGCGTTCTTTCGAGAACCGGTCAAGCGCGCAAAACACGCGATAAACCTCCGGACCGCGTGAAAGTTCGCCATAACTGCGGCTTGAGTTATGTACCTTTCGATGATTAAAATTAATCGCCTACCCGGCTTAACGCTCGCGCAAAGTGGTTGTATACGACGGGACAACCTCTTCTCCGGTGAATTCCCCGTGGAAGTTGTATATACTCGCGCCATATATAATCAGGTATATTATATCTTGTTATAAGAAGTCTGTTTTCGGACCTATAACATTGTTAATTTGGTGCACCAGAGAATGGAGAACGCGTTATCAATTCTTTATACATTTATTTTCTGATTTTTCGAATAATTCAATTAAATTAAAATATCTAAAAAATGTAAAGGAACTCAATTTATATATATCCTTCATTAACTGATTAAATGATGATATAATTATAACTTCATCGCACATGTTCTCGTAATCAAATATTTGCTAAACACAGATGGAAATATGGAACGACATTCATGACACTTGCGATCGTTTTCTACTTCATCATATTGCGACAGCGAGAAGAAACAATTTAATCTCATTTTAATCAAGAAAATTATTAATCTCTTAATTTTTATCAGCGAATTCAATATTATTCTACTCATTCATTTCATCATCTTTATTGAACTCGCGCTATTTACCCGAATACTTGTATAATTGAATATTGCGTGCTGATTGCCGTAACTGGCGTTTTCAATTAAGAATGCAAATTTCTAATTATATGCATCGCGGATGGATTGCACATCCGTGAAGTACGCACGTATACATGTGCGTGCAAAATTCACGTATTCATGCACACGTCGACGCGCGGTGTCCCTGATACCGGTACAAATATGGTGCGATCGTCTGGACACGCGCACGTACGTACATACATACATACATGTATACATATGTGCATCGGAAACCGTCGGACAGCGCGAAAGTTGCATCTGTTGCACGTATCGGTGATTAGTTACGTTGTGCTGCGCTATGTCAGGAATGTTAATCAGCAGAAGTTAGCGCGCGGCGCGCTTTATTAACTGTGAATTCAAGTTAGTCGGAGAGTTTCGCGGTATATCTGACGAGCGACACAGCATTATACGTCGATTCGCGAGACTTCCAAAGAAAAGAATGTCAAAAGAAGAATCCCTCTAACATGATGAAAATTCAAAGTTTTACGCGACTTAAATATTTACGCCGTTAAAAATACCCCTACTTAGAATAGATAGCGTATATGCAAATATTTTATCAGTATAGGCGCTCGTTAAAATATATAGAAGTATTCTTGGAATCGCTTGAATCTCTACATAAAATAAATGTAAAAATACGACGTAATATTCAAAATAAATCTTAATTAAAGGAAAGACGAGTTCAAGAAGAGATTATTTTTTTAAATCGTACTTTACGAATAATAATATAAAACTTCAAAGGATTCCAAGTTTTAAGATCGAAAATAAGACTCTTAAGATATTTGCCGAATTCTCCTTGATATAAGAACGTGAAAGGTCGCGAAATTTTGCGGCCGCGCTTTGTCAGACCAGAGGAGTATGAAAAATCGAAGAGATGATGTCATTTTTTTGAACGATAACACACTCATCGCGATGTGTAATGTGTCGATATGCGCGCGATGAATCACTCGAGCGGTTTGCACGTTCGCTATTTAATAGTGTAAATATTTTTTCGTCGATGCATTTCCTTCCCGAGAGAATTCTTACGGCATGGTATAAGCGTACGTATTAAAATAGAGGAAAGAAATAGTTTAGAAAATTCTCGTGCGCAATGAGATATTTTTATATTGGTATATCTTACAGAGGAAATAAAAAAATAATTTCCATAAAAGGAAAGAAAAGCATATGCAATTGCAAAGTTGTAAAAAGAACACGAAACACTTTCGGATTTTTTTTTTGCGACAGTTTACGCGATCTATTTGATTGAGCAATAATAGTGTTGTTCAAATCCCATGTTTCACTTTAAATTCATTACCTTATCAGAGACCGAAACAGACACAAACGATATCTTGTCAAATGTGTAACGGGAACAGCAATCATAAAATGTCTTATCTTTCATTCTCATCTTTAGAGAGAAATATATCTCTTATCTTATTTTATATTTATTTTGTAATAAATTTTTTTTTATTCACATTTTTTATCATTCAAATGATAAATATTAAAATATTTTTATTATTACTGTACAGTCTTTAAAGGCTTAAATTTTTATCTCAACATGCATATTTGAAAATTGCAGACACGGTAAATGGTAAGATGGAGAACTGCGGAGGCGGCCAACGCCTGCCCCCGGACGGGGACGAATTTCCAGCAGCATATCAAGAATTTAGCAACAGTCAGCCACCGTACAGATACATCGCCGCGACAAGGACGACGGCGACGATAGCCACAAATGGAGGATTGTGCAACGAGAATGAGACGTTTCGTGCCGGCGAGGCATTTAAGATGCTCGCGAACGACAGCAATGTTGTCGGTTCGAGGAGCATTATTCTGCCTGATAACAAGATGACGTTGACGAATCCGGAAAACGTGACGCAAGACATAAGCAAAGCTGCTTCGACGACAGAGCATATCCGACAGGATATAGAAACCAAGACTACTTCGACTAATGATAACAATGCCTGTCAGGATAAAACGAAGGATTGCGAGGTTTCTAATGAAGAGACAAAAGCATTCTTTCACACTTCGGAAGATACCGCGAAGAGAAACGCTTCTGTCGTCGCGGGAAGCTCTCTTTATTCTTGCCAAACGACCAACTCAACGATTAGCGAGAAGAAGACGGAGATCGCCGGATATTATCACAAGGACGCGATGACGATCGAGGAGATGCCAAGCCACGTGGAAAAGGACACGCCCGTCGATACCCCTCCGCCTCTACCGTTGACAGGTACTCATTTAGCTTTGAATTAAACCTCTACTTGTCCTCCTTTATTTTTTCTTCGACAAGCAACGCTGACACATAATCAAGTTATTAGATTCGACGTAATATATTTCGACAAAATTGATTTTTCTTTCGAAATTAATCTGAAACATGATGGCACATTTATCGTTATTTTTTTTTATGTACACAGAGAGAATTTGTTTTTAGAATTTACCCTGAAAATTATGATATTGGAAGAATTTTATAAGAGTTTCTCTGATTAATAATTTTACACACAATAAAAAATATCTACCACAATTAGATATAAAATATGTTCAATTAATTTTACTATGTACATAGTAGAATTTACCGTGAATAAATTTTAAGAAGATTAGAGAAAATTCTCTCCGTGTACTTTTATACTTTTTGTAAATATAATGTATTACTTAGGTCCACCTAAGATGGAGCAAATGGCATTGCATGCCAAAAACGTTTCTACGATGGAGTCGCCGCATAGAAAGTTTTCTCTGAACGGCGATCTCTGGAGGCAGGATGACAAGTCCGAGCGATCCGTCCGAGACAAAATCGCCATGTTTTCGTCGCAAAGCAACCTCGACGCGCCCTTGTTCCCCAATGTCATGTCAGCCGCGGTAATCACGAGTAACGGCAAACGTTTATCCAAGTACAAGTCCTCTGAAGATGTTTGTTGCGACGACAAGAGCAACGGACAGAAGGATCGGTCGACTTTCCTCGTTGACAGAACACAGAGCTCTTTCGATCTCACCGATTCGGCCAGAGCATCGTCATCAGGGCAAGATTCCACGAAGAAATATGGTCAGAGAACTAGTTTGCCTGCTCAGCCTACTCTATTAAGTCCTGCTACGCAAACTACGCGCGTTCCAAAGACGCTGCCAATCGTTCCGCCGAAAGTTACATCACTGTCCAGTACGTTATCGCCTTCGTACGATAAGCAGATTTTTTCAAATACAACGACGAAGAACTATTGTGCCGAAAGTAGCGATTTGTCGAACGCCGCGTACCCAAGTGTCAGTAAAACTGTCGGTTCTTATAACAATGCTAACAATTCGATGAAGACGAGCACGCCTTTATTGACGCGAGCTACCAGTTTCTCAGGCTCGACCTTCTTTGTGCAAGATCGAAATTCTCTTACAGCCGATTCGACTGGTAATTCGCAAATTTCGAGAACAACTTCCCTGGCATCTACGTTTAGACGACCCGGAGAAGACGTGAGAAGAAACAGCTTGAATCAGCTGATCGAACAGAGGCGGAAATCGATATCGAAACTACGCGGTCTGGTTATACCAGAGAAAGACACCGTGTCGATAGATCAACCTATCGTCGATCTACCGGAAATTAAATCACGCGATTCGATATTACATCAGGTAAGATTTGAAGTTATTAAAATACAATATAATTTTAAATATTTGAGATATTTTATAAATTATTTTTCAATTTTTTTACAAGTTTAATTCTTGTATTTTGCGATATGATTCTCGAAATTAATAATTAATTTGAAAAATCCATTTTTGCAAATTATATTCAATATTTTTCTATTTTTCGCATAAACATTTTTATTTAAAAAATTTTTTAGTAAAAATTGAAAATGCTGAAATGACGTATCGTATTTTTTTCAGATACCAAAGGCAAACATTCAAGACAAGTGGGGATCTCAAAGTTCCTTGACCAGCAACGCCAGCACGACGAGTCAGCCCTTGAAAGCGACAGCATCCTTTAAAATGCCGGCGCCACAGATACACTCTAAGTATTCCCCGGCTTTCAAGAGAAAATCTCTCACGGTATACGGTACATCTGTGACGAATTCTTCCGCGATAAACGGCAATAGTCCAATCAAAAGTTCCCCGTCAAACGCGTCCACGTTTTCGGAGCCACCGAAAAGTCTGGAGAGCATCTGCAGCCCGACGAGAAGTGATTATAGTTTCGAATTCGCTTCGACAACCAGCTCACCGGATGGTTCGCGTAACAGGCCAAGGACGGTTCAGAGGAAGGCTCGCTTGGACTACGACGATTCCGACAACGATTCGGCCGTGAGCAGCTCTCAAAGTAGTATATCTCGGGGCTTTAGTCCGCCGATGTCTCCGGCACCATCGGAGAGATCCACTATCTCCTCGGAGAGATCTTACATCTCCACAGAACTGAATTATCAACGTCGACTTTTGATCGCGGAGAATTTGAACAGAACTTCGGTGTCGCGAGATATCAGAGATTCAATCGGTGAATCGGATAAAGACCAATTCGGCTCCAGAATAGGTCTTCTCGGGGAACGAACGTGTCTGAACGAGAGATCGTCATCCAGTAGCAGCAGCTCGAATCCGCGATCGCCTCAACCGAACGAACTTTTTTCGAGAAACTCGCAAATTCCACAACGACAGCTGAGACGATCGAACAGCACCGACACGAACTGTAGCACATCCTCGACGCTGACATCCGGATCTCAGGCCAGCGCTGAGTCCCTATCTCGAAGAGTGCTGAAACCGCAAAGCGTGGAGGCTATAAATCGGAAGAATATTTTAGCGAGCGCCAGATGTCGGAGTGGAAGGGATCTGAACGGGTCACCGTTAATCCAGCGAAAATTCTCGGATGACGAGGACATGGCGAGGACTATCGAAAACGGCAATGTTCGTCAAGTAACTAATGATTCGGGAAATGAGTCCGCGAACAAACGAGAAGTCAATATAGCTTATATAGAGGTCGCGGATCCTTTCGCAAAGGATGAGGAATCTTTTCAGAAGGGAGAAGAATTGAAGCTGCCACCTAAAAGAAGCATGCTACCGCCGCCAGCTGTTAGACCGCCGAAGCCCGAAATGCTAGAACCGTCAAACGATCTTAAAATGTGGGTTCGAGCAGAGGCGAAGACTCTAGCGCGAGCCATGGAAGAAAAATCAAACAACAAATACGACAAATGTCCCTCTGTTGTAGCTCAAACTTTGGAAACGTCGTCTATAACTCACACGGCAAGAAAGAATTCACACGACTCCATGCTTGACGAACCTACTAATTCAGTATTGAATGGTAGTTTGCCTTTAAAAAGTAGAATCACAATAAGCGAAGCAAAAGTCGCTACAATGGAAACTTCAAAATCACAAAACAGAGCGAGTATAAGTCCCAGAAGGAACACGGAAGATCAAAACGATCTCTTAACAATCTTAACGACAAAGAGCCGCTCTAGATCAGCTATACATGTCGACGAAGGAACTTTTGGTAGATCAAAAAGTCAGATGAGTCTAGAGGATATATTGGCTGCTAAAGCAGATTCAAAGTTACTCCGCGCGCAAAATACGGAACCGAAAATCGAAAAGAATGGCGTAATAACAAGCTCGCCGATAAAATCTACTTGGGATTCGAAGGAAGGTCGATACTGTAGAAGAGGTTCTACTACATCGAACGAATCCTGGTCGGAAGATAGACCTTTCGTTTCGAAGATACCTACTTTGGGAAAAGTTAGGAACATCGATAGCGGCGACGAAATGTTGGAAAGTGTCGAGAGAACAAGAAGCGCAACATTGTCGAAGATTCCGACGTCCCGCGGTCTGAATCGACGCAGCGCCAGCGTTACAGATATGAAAGAGCTGTAGACGCGAGTCCTGTAAACACCCAGTTGCAACAGTGCACCGGCGGCACTCATAATCGATTTCCAAGCTTAGATAGCAGTGTGGACGAAAACATCGGAACGGAAACGGATGTCGATAGATGCTACGGCGAACAATTTGGCAGTATCAGCTCGCTATCCAGCAGTACCAGCTTGATTTCGCAACAGGAATTGGCGCAGCTTGTAGAAGAAGCAAGTTTAGAGGAAACGCGCGGTGCCCATGACGTCATAGTCGTCCTACTTCACAAGGAAAATCCTACCGGTAGCGTCGGCATCACTTTGGCTGGCGGCGCGGATTGCGAGGTGAAGGAGATCACGGTTCACCGAGTGCTGACGCATTCCATTGCGGACAAGGACGGCCGGGTGCAAAGAAGCGACAGGATCCTCAGTATAAACGGTAGAAGTACGCGAAATCTCACACACAGAGAGAGCATGGCGGTGTTAAAGCAACCGAGATCGGAAGTCGTGTTAGTTGTGTCGAGAGCTAGGATGGAAGAGGACTGCAAACTGAGGTCGCGGACTGCGAGTGTCGAAACCATCGTCGAAGGTAATAAATATGTGTTATTTTTGAGCGTTTGAGATTTAATTCGATTTCATTATTGGATTCTCGTTCTCTACGGGACGCAGTATTACGTTTTCTTACATTCTTAGTCACAATAAGATTTTTTATCACGGGTTTCGTTCCTATCGCAGTTGGAACTATTATGTTCTTTCTCAAATCAACCCCCAATGCGAGCTGAGATTGACTAAACTTGGCTTTGCCGATTATCAGGCGATTGCTCTACTGTTGAGAGGAACTCTGCCTCTTGAACCATTGTAATAATAAAATCGATATAAATAAAAGAATTTTCTCAGGATTAGAGACGAATGTGGAGGACACAGTGTGGGGGCCACCGTCGACTGTGGCAGTCTACAAAGATGGAACTAGTTTGGGATTCAGTTTGGAAGGCGGCAGGGGCAGTCCTCTCGGGGACAGACCTCTGATTATCAAGAAGATATTCACCGGTAATTTTTATGCAAATATTTTTTATATATTTGTAATGATAATACAAGATAACGCTTTATTAAAATAAGATAATAATAATAAAATTATAAAGTATTATAGAATTTTTTTTATAGCATCTTATGGCAGCAATTTTAACTTCATCTTTTTTAGGAGGTGCTGCCGAGAAGACAGGTGCTTTAAAAGCTGGGGATCAATTGCTCGAAGTAAACGGTAACGATGTAACGCGAATGTCGAGAATAGAAGCATGGTCTTTGATGAAGAAGCTACATGATGGTGAAGTAAATCTCCTAGTCAGGCATCCTGCCACCAAATCCTCGTGAAGAGTAAGGAATTCCGACGCAAACGGGAATGCAGAAATGTGCCAAGCAAGCGACTGGATAAATTTTCGATTGATACTTGTTAAATAATGCGGGGCATGACAGACTTAAAAAGCGTAAAAAAATTATTATTCGAGACATTCTACATCCGTATTATCGCGAGAAATTATTCTATCGAGTTTGCAAATTTGAATAATATTAAAAAAAGAGATTAATTATTATCATCGATCTTTAAAGAAAAGTTGCTCATGATATTTCTGAGTCATTTAAACTATTAAAAGTCTATATTCGCTATTCTAATACAGTTCCATAATTATATATCATAAAATAATAGACGAATTATTAATTAAAAAAAAAAAGAAAATCGCAAACAGGATTTGCTTATTTATTTGTGTTTTGATCGAATGCCTCGTAGGTATTAAATTTTTAGTAGATACAATCTTGTATTACTAAATATGTAAATAGCAGTAAAATAGTATATTTTCTAAATATTAAATGTAAATTTGCGATATGATGCAACATAGTGTGTGTGACGTAAATGATATATTTTCATAAAAATGGAATTTGTCGTGAAAGAAAGAAGCCTAATGAATGCAAATTTCCAATTTTGATTGACAATACAAAATACAGTTGCATTCAAAATAATCGCACTGATTTGAATATAATTGTTGAATTTATTACATTTGTCATGTAATTGCATTGGAGATTTTGTTGAAAAACAATAATAGAGAAATGTTAATATAATTTTCGTTGACAACGAAGCATATAAGAAATTTCTAATGCATGCCATATGCAAAATGAATAATAATATTACTGGAATGAAATAGATAGATACAATATGTCGTCAATTAATCGTCTAGAACAACGTTGATACGTACGAATTGTACGACATTAATTTCATAGTGCCGGCCGTGCAGTAATAGTTCCAGTTAAGAGTTTGCGACAAGCAAATAATAACCGAATAAGTAGTTAAAGTATGAGCCTGATCGTAGATCAGGTTTATTTTTCTAATATCGATCTTAGCCGACCATAGCCACCCCGTCGCTTTACTTTATAGTGGTTCCTGTTGATTTACTTTAAAATACGAAACGATAGAATATGTACATCGTATAAAATGGCAACATCAAAACTGACGCGCCAATTAATAGTATCGAGTAATAATACAAGAGATATATATATGTATGTTTGTTCAGTTTCTAACTCTTAATGCAATAAGATCACACATATAATATGAATAGGTATTTGTATTTAGGCAAAGGCATTTTAATTATTTTTATGCCCTCTCTCGCAGCTGGCAGTAATATAATCAACAAACTTTAAATGTATTATAATAAAAAAACAGCTGATTGCGCTGTTGAAGTTTATATAATCGAGTCATGCGGATCGTAATTTCGCAATTCTTCAGTTCATCTTCGAGAGAAAAAAGGGATATGTATATGTATGCGGGAATATTACCGAATATTTCGCTATTTATGTTATGTATGTATAGAATACTAAAATTTCGCAAAAAATGAGATGCATGTAAGCATAATGAAGATATAATAGGGCGGAATATAAATTATTTATTTTGGATGCGAGAACTTTGAAAGATTAGAGACGAAATGAGAGAAAACAAATGATCGTCATTTTGAGAAATGATTCAACATGATGATTTGAATTTCCGTCCTATTATAATTTTCTTAAAAATATAGCAGGACAAAATATACAACCTACCGATTTGAAGAGAAATTCAAAGCCTAAGAGAAGACTAAAACTTTACTTTGTTTAAATCACATTTAATTGCGCGATGCTCACTCTTTAAATTAATATTACATATATAGTCGCAGTCATAAATTATGAACTTTATAAAGTGGAGTCCTGCATTGGCGAATTTAAATTTGTATTTTCAAATTTATTACGTTTGCGTGAGATATGTTTGTGTACATATCTATATATCTGCTTATTTAAATTTAAATATTGAAATATCTTTTTGTGAATATTAAATCGATTTTTCTATTTGAAATGTTAAAATATTAATACACCCATACAGCACCGTTAGATTGCAAAACATTACAACAATCTTTCACCGCAATATTGCAATATTGCAAATTCACTGCAAAAGTTGCTACATCATTGCTGTTGAATTGCAGCAATGTTAAAATGTCCGCTTTTTGGAAGATAATAAAATTATTGATTATCGTCAACATCTTTTATTGTACAATATTGCAAAAAATTATTTTATTACAGTATTATACCCAGCAAATACCAAGTTACAGTTATATAATTGTTAGTTGTAATTTTCCACTCAACAATATAATTGTTATAATACACGTATTATATTTTTGAGTGGGAAATTACAACTAACAATTTATAGCTGTAACTTGGTGTTGCTGGGTATATGTATATATTGTATATTACAAAATATAAATTATAGAATTTGGATTACATGCAATATTTCCGAAATATTAATGTCATGTTGCTACAAGTGTGCTGGAATTTTGTGCACTATATCTCTGCAATGTCTTTATAATGTTGCATTGCAACTTGCAACATTGCAACATTGCTGCAATATAATTGCAATAATCTGTGCTGTATGGGCATATTTTGAACATTAAATTAAATTCTAACATCTTTTTCTCTCAAGTTTCAATCCTTGAAACAATATTCTATCCTTTGCTAGTATTTATTAAAATATGTTCCTGGCAATTTTTTCATCAAAATTGATTGTAAGGTAATACTGAATTAAGGAATTGCTCCGTGTTATAGATGCTCAAATTAAATATGTATATTTTTATGTAAAACAGAATCTGTTAATTAAAATTGTATTGAAGAAAAAAAAGGTTACAGAGAATTCAGCGTTTTCCCGTTCCATAGATTCGGATTTTAATTTAGATATTGTGTTTCACATAAAAAATATCAATATGTTTTGCAAAACATTTTCAATAAATATTTTTACTCATAATTATATAAAATTATCCAAATTTACGTTATAAAAATATTATGAAACTCACTTTATTACATGTCAGCAAGAAGTTGTAAACTGAAAAATTGTAGCTTGAAATTTATGTGAAATTTAAAATAATATTTCAAAAAAAAAATTAAAAAATAATTAAAGTAATATTATAAAATAAATAAAAGATTACAATAGTTTTTCCCGTTGCCCGTACCATAGGGCCTCCTTCTCCTCTTAGAGCTCCGAAACACTTACAATCGCGTGATTTTGTTAAAACGAATCCGATTTTAATTAAACATTTTTACCAAAAAAAAACACGTGCGAATAAAACCGATGCTCCGATTTTGCGTCGCTTTTTTTAAGGCCACTTATTGAACGACGATGGCAATTTCTTCGCGACGCACTCAAAAGTCGTCGATATTCATTTCACTAAATATTGAGAAATATAATACTGATATGGCGACGCGACCATGTCGTAGTCGATCAGCGAATTGTAACAAAAATACAAGATAATTCGTCGCGTAACGATATTTCGACACGACGACCCGAAAATACGACCGGAAACACGCAATCGCCCGCTTAGAACACAATCGACGATGCCGAAAAACCGTGGAAATTCGCGTAGAAAGCACGACCGGTAATTCTCGCGATCCGTATGCCGAAACTTTCGGCGGTTTCTGAGTTGTGGCAAAATTGAACCGGCAATTAAAGACCGAAGATTTCTTTATCCTGATTGGTCGACCAAGACTTGATCGACTAATCGAGGACAGCGAATCTCGTCGTTCTGATTGGTCGACCGAATTTATCCACCAATTGGAGACGAGGAGCTCCGTCATGATGGTCAATCGCGCACTTCACCCTGATTGAATACATTTCTGAACACAATCTAGATTGCTGCTGCCCTTGCTGCACTTTCGTATGTTGGTCACAATCAACGGTCGCGTTGAGACAGTTATATAACTTGAGACTTGTTCCGAAAAAAGTTTATAAAACGCTTGATACTAATTTGCGAAATTTGTAGAAAAAAAGGAGTTTTAGTTCATCGTTATTTTAAATCACAGTTTTATTTACTTCGTAAATTTTTCCGCACAAATTACAAATTATTTTTTATTCCTGATTTTCATTGTTTACATAATTTTTAATTATTGAATTTTTATTATGTTTTAAATTTGATTTGCCAAATTTCTATTATACACATAATTTGTATTCTTCAATTTCTATTATAAGATTATAATTTTAATTCACGAATTCCTATATGTACATAATTTTATATCTGAATGTTATTATGTAAATAATTTTAATTCCCGTAGTTTTATTATATACATAATATTAATTGATCAAATTTCTATTATGTACAATTTCAATATTTACATAATAGAAATACGGCGAATTAAAATTATGTATATATAATAAAAATAAAAAATTAAAATTATGTGCATAATAGAAATTCGACGAATTAAAATTATGTACATAATAGAAAATCGGGAATTAAAATTATGTACTCCCTCACAATAAAATTATGTACATAATTGATATTCGGCGAATTAAAATTATGTACATTTGCTGATTTTTTATATTTATTTTATTTACGCATTGAAAACTCCCGCGCGTAGTAATACATGAAATCGGCCGATTCTGAAGTGACGTCACGGCGTCACCAACTTCAGCCAGCGCCGCCATTAGTCAGTGCGAGTCTAGCGGCGGAGGAGCAGAGGTGCGTCGCGAATGCTCCGCGTCTCGTCTAGATTTCGTGTGCGCGAGTAACGCGAATAAACGGGAGTGCAAGTCCGGGAGTGTCGTGCTTTGACGTGATAGACCGAATAATATGCTCGAAGAGCATTCGGGCGTCGATGGGACTTGGGGACCCGGAGCTTCAGAACATCGCGAGTTGGAGATCGGAGGGAGGAGAGCGTTTTCGTTTGAGACGTTCCGCCGTGTTTTTCGTGTACATTTCGCCGCTACTCGGCGCCCGAGAGCCTCGAAAAGATACCTCATCGTCTTGAAGGGTATCCCGGCCCGGCGTCGACGGGGCCTGGGAGTCTCAGATCATCGCGCGAATTCGCGGGATTGCGAGCTATGGGTGGGACAAGGGGAGGGAGACTATGCATCGTTTCGACGGTATTTGGACTATTTCTATAGTTATCGTGTGGTATTTCGGCATCGTCCTCTCGACGAGGAGTTTCGCGAGTGCTCGAAATCTCCCGGAGTGCCCGAATATCGAAAAAAGTGTCCAAGAAGCATCGAAACCGTCGATTCAAATTATAGGGTGGGCGGCTATACCCCTCACTCGCTTAGAAAAACAGCTTTGGTAACGCTTCGCGTAACGGTCGTGGCGCGCAAGTATTATTTCCCCTGATGGGACTTCAGTTTCTTCACGATGATACGTAATAACGCGGCGCGCCGAGAGATGTCGCGATAGACCTCTTAGACATCACGAATTGATTAAAATATTCGGACGCTCGCTTTCCCGAA